TCTGGAGCTGCACAGAGGGCATCTGAGGGTAGCAGTGGGGCCCCTTACGAGTCATACAGCTCTCAGAGCTCATCTGTTCAAGATGAAACTTGCAGAACAAGAAGACTGCAGACTGTGCGGAGGCGATAAGGAGGGATTTTATAGCGACGGAGTGCTAATAGGGGGCATCCATATTTTATGTGAATGCCCCCTATTAGCACTCCGTCGCTATAAAATCTGGGGCCAAGCTTTCCTGGAACCAGAGGACTTACAACAAGCGGCTGTCACCAGCCTTATTAGCCTAGTGAGAAACACAGGGCTGGGGCTGTATGACTGACCGAAACTAAGGCGGAACTTATAAAAGATCGTATGATTTAGGTGACTCTGGGCGCTTTAAGTGACCAGCCGCACTTTTTCTATTCTATTCTATCTGCATATCACTTATCAATCGATTCGATGTGTCTAGTTTATTGCCTAGATTTAATTTGAAATGTAAAAGTTGAGGGTCCACGATCTCCCATTTATCCACGGTACAAATTACCTTGAATCCACGGGAACACGTTCCGTTTATCCACGCTCAAAGTTACCGTGGAGCGTGTGAATAGACACTGCCTTAAAGTGGAACGGAACCTCTGTGACTATATGAATTTTTAGAATTGTGTTTTCTCCTGCAATTATTATTTTATATTTATGAAACTACTTCATTGGCTCAACAATGCGATGATCGAGTCAATAAAGTAGTTTCATAGATAAAAATTAATAATTGAAGGAGAAAACACAATTCTAAAAGTTCATACAAACAAAGGGGTTCCGTTTCCCCTTAAAGTAAACTTTAATAAAAGTCCATCGTTCATTACTTACTGAAGAGTACTGTCAAAAAAAATGTTGATCAGATTATTTTTTTATTCAGTTATCAATTAAAATATTGAAAAACATTTTTATGAAAAAAAATGGATCTTCAAATATTTTTATGGCACGAACAAAGTTGTTTTCAAGTTGGTGAAAAAATTTATATTCATGTTCATGGAAAAGAACATTGTTAAAAATTCAGTAAATAATAGAAGAATTATTTCACGAAAATATCCATATATAAAACTTGAAAAATACTCAAACTGTTTATTTCTTATTCCTCTCTTTTCGCTGGGAGTTCCGAGAACTGAGGCCACTGAGCGCATGGTGATGGTAACGAAATATAAGCGCTTTCGCCGAATCGGCTACCCCTACACCCCCAGGCGCTCTCATAACGGGGTTCTACTGTATATTTTTCAAGCTCTGATTTAATTGCTATTACTGATGATTCTTTCAGTAATCATGAAAAAACCGATTTTCTCTTTCAAATGGCATAAACAATGTGCTGTAACTCTACAACCAATTGTGGGACCCCATTATATTCTGATAGGATAACGAGGGTATTGTCATAAATTTTTTGAGCCACGACTAATTCCATTTTGATGATAATTTTTTGAGTGATCGTTGATAAATCTATTTTTGGAAAAATATCAATTTTTTCGAATCTCTATGAAAAATTGAATTTTAATTCGTGTTAATGCATAGAGGTCATTTTAAAGTCTATATTCATGAAAAAATTGATGAAATTCGAGTGATCCCTTTTTAGAAAATTTCTAAAAAAAATGAAGATAATAGACTATGCATCGCATATTCTGACTTTTTAGAGCATTTTTCAAATTTCAACGATCGCAAAGCTTCCATTCGGAAGCAAAAACCGAGCCGCCATTAAATGATGCTCTTAAATCCGGAATAAACCAACATTACCCCAGTGTTGCAAACAATCCAAACACGTGATATGAATATATGAAGAACAACAAGTCACAAGAGATGATACTAAGTATAATGAGAAATGTCGCAACTTCTGACACCGAAAGCAGGCCCCAGTAGTACTTGTCAACATCTATTGACCCGTAGTCCACTGGCGTTGGAAACAGGGGTAGAGTCTCATTTGTCTCGATGAATATGTGCACAAGTCGTAATTGTAACGGCCCTGTCGCGAATATAATTCCTCCACTGAATACGGATCCTACAAAACGTAATTCCATAGCATAACAATTAACAATTGATCCTGCTGTCCTCATTGTTCTGATTGTCGTCGATATCAACCTAAATATATGATGGACAATCTCTTTCCCGATGCGGTGTACTGGTGAAGAATCTGCAACTCGTCCTCCGAGAAAATTTTCCAATTTTCTTTGATCTTAGTTAATAGAGCCTTCATCTGAAAAGAAAAAGCGTGAATCGCGTTCACAACCGACAGGAATACAGAAGCCTGTACCTTCTTGAAATTATACCAATTGTTGATGGTTTTTATCACAAATACTGTATCAATTATGAACGGCCCAGTAGCATCGAGAATAACTTCAGGATCATCCCTGTGCAGGACTACAGCTCTAATCTGCAATTGTTGATTGAACAGAAGTTTTTGGCATGAGAAGTGTTTAGTAATTAGCTAACATAACAACTCCAATTTTTCAGATTTACTGATAGGTAAATATTATAGTTTATATGTTAGTTTTGAAGTATATCAACATCATTTAGATCGGAACCTGGTTGCTATAAATGAATTTAACCTCTTGAGCCATCACACTTTGTTACATGGATGCTCAGGTGGATGTACACTGAGAGAAAAAATTATTCCTGCCAAGGATTGATATTCTCGTCAGAAGATAATATTTTTTCAGAACGAATTTTTCCAGGACAGTCATTTTCTGAGAGTCCAAGTCTATCCTAAAAAATTACAGCGATATTGAACAATCTGATTATTATGCTACATATGACCTTGACAAAATGTTCTCCGATATCTTCCGGATTTTACAAATTGGCGATTTTCTCAGGTAAAGAAAATTGGAATAATTCCAAATGTTAATAATTATTATTGGAGTTTCTTCGAGGTCATATGCAGAAGAATATTCTTATAAATCACCATAATTCTCAAGCTTGGAACTGATTTCGGAGCACCTGGAAATGACTGGCCTGGAGAAATACGTTCCAAAAGAGATATTTTCGTCTACTAAGAGTATGAAAAAGATATCACCAATAACATTTTCTTGGAAGGAATAAATTTTTTTCTCAGTGTACACTGAGAGAAAAACAAATACGGTCTCAAACAAGTCTTGTTTGGGCCAACAAAATCGCTAATTGAAAATTGCCAAAAAAGAATTTGTTTGGTGCGAATTTGAAAGTCTCAAACATGAATAATGGTTCTGCTTTCGACAGCAACGAAATATTTGGCTCAAGAGGTGGATAATTCACACCTGACGGTGCCTTTTCAGGATGAAAATATCTCATACAGAGGAAAATTTATCAACAAATATTTTATCCCTAAATTAGAAGATTGCTATCATATAATTATTATTGTTTAATTTAAGGGTTCATTTGTTGTCTGTGATTATTAGACAGCCGAAACGAACAACTACTATCCCTTGTTTTACATAAAACAAAGATTTTTCGGAAGCAAAATACGTATGGAAGTACCGAATAATAAAGGAGTAGTGCTAGAAATGATATTTCTTGCGTGTACAGAGAATGCAATTTTTTTTTGAACTACTAAATCTATTTTTGCGACAAAAATGTTTCATTCCGGCACACTCTCTGCATGTTTGGCACAAAAACATCCTTTTTGCTTCTGAATGGAAGCATTGAAATCATGCGATTTTTCGATTCTCTAATTTTGCCTGGAAATGATGTAGAATGGTCTAAAACGTAAAAATACGAAGTTTGAGGACCATGTATGTATGTGCGCGTGGTCAGCTTGGTCCACTTGATGGTCAACTTTTAGAAAATTAAATGAATAAAGGGCTAAAATAATTCCAAAAAATTTGAAATTTTGTGAGATTATAGGTATTAATGAGGACTAAGTCTGTGCTAAAGTTCAGCTGAATCGGTTTAGCCATTTTTGAGAAATCATCATTTGTTTTTAAATCGTTTTTTGCAAATATCCCGAAAACTATCCAACCGATTTCAAATTTTTTTTCAAAATACTCGTCTTGATGTTTTCTATCGCAATCTATCAAAATATCTATACCCATTCATACAAAGTTTTCGAGATATTTCTATTTTTCGGTTTTTCGCTGAAAATTTTTGTTAGCACTCTAGTTTTTCTAAAAATTGCCATATTAACGTGAAATTTGGTACAAAGTTTTCTCTTGGCACTAAAATGTTTGGTATTGAAGATGGGCTAAATCGGATGGAGAGTTGAGAAGATATTCGACTTTGTATCTAAATCTATTTTCTTGAAAATCTCAAAAACTACTCAACCGATTTCAATTTTTTTTTTCAAAATATTCATCTCAATGTCTCCTATTCCAACCAATTGGAATATGCACAATCCATGCAAGTAATTCATGCAAAGTTCCCGAGAAATTCAAATTTTTCGATTTTTCGCTAAAAATCCGTTTTTGCACTCTAACTTTGGAAAAATTTACATATTAATCTGAAGTTTGGCACGAGGTTTCATCTTGTTTTACTTGAAAATTGAGAAAATCGGAGAATTTGTGTCTTACAGAAACTGAAATTTTTTATTCACCACAAAACAGAATTTTCATTTTCTCATTATTTTTAAAAAATAGAATTACAACAGATCCATTCGGAAGCTTGCTACCAATGAGATTGGCAGAGATGAAAGATAAAAAAATCAACAACGCATGAAGAAACTATCATATCTTTTTGATAATTTTCAGAAAACTATTTTCTTGGCACAAGTAAAACTTGTTTGAGAAATTCGTTGTTTTTCTCTCAGTGTACGGGACCTCCCATTCTATGCCTTTCCTTCTAAAAGCAGTTTTTTAAATTTCACTTATGAATTGTTCATATAAATTCAGCGATTAGCGAAACGCGTATCAAGCCTCACCAGCACTTAGCATTACCCAGGGTTCACGATGGGACCGCAGCTGGTACGAAGTTATTTACCTAATCGAGTCCGGCTCAATGTTCTTAGTGATTTCAATTCTTATTGTTGTTAAATGACGAAATAATTCAGCTTCCTCGAAAAAATTTTTGGAGTAGTTATCTGTACCAATTACCAAAGCAAATGTTTGCAATGTCACCCTTGGTATCAGGTGAATAACAGTCAGGGTCAATAACATTCCACGCGAGCGAATGAGCGCATTCACGGATTGATTTGGCCATTGTCCAACCAAGCATGATGTTAACTTGGAAACTCGGAAATAATCCTGATCCCAGAAGTCCATCTCTTCTTAGTTTAGGTTCATGAAAGCTCGAGTAATACTGCTGGCGCAATAACTGAAGACCACGTAGCTCAAGTGAAAAACATTTTCTTTTTCTTCTATGTCGGAAAACAACATCTGGACTTGACAGAAGTGTCTTCCGGTAGAGTGAAAAAAACTTTATGTGAATAATAGATGGGGAATTCTGGGAAGCAGTGGAAGGGTGAAAATTCACACGCACGGTGGGGGGGTCACAGCGTTTCATGTGTCCGTGCGTACAGCACTTTAGTCTATATCCCCGAGAAGAACGAAAGAAATTGTTTCTTTTTTTCAATTTTATGCGGAAAAATTCAACTTTTGAGGAATACCACCTCCTTTGGACGAAGCGATATCTTTCGTTGGTTTCAACATTTTGAAAGGAACTCTTTGGAAATGGCTCAAATGGAGATTTGGCTGGGATACGGAACATTCAAGTAGGATACATAAACTCAGGTTTGGAAAAGTAGTATGATCTACTGATAATTTATGTAATCTTCATGGGATTATTTTTTTTAACGTCGCCTTACTTATACCTACGTTATGTAAGTTTATCAGCGACGGGGGTTTTCGATGGTTTTTTTTCAACAGGGCACGTACCCTGAAGCAGAGGTGGTCGTATTAATCCGTAAGGATTGATACCATCGTAGCCCCCACCCTAGCTCCCTACCTTTTACTGCGGCTGTGGCCGATTTTGTGCGCTGTACCGTATTCACTCCTTGTCACTGAACAGATATGGGAAACCACAGAAAATCCATGTCGATACAATTGGTTACTCTGTTAGCAACCTCCCGCTCGCCCAGAGCCGAGATAGACCGAGCCCTGATAAGCAGAACCCCGCCCAGGTAGGCCCTTAAACCTCCTCGCAGAAGTTGAGGGGCCTTCCCAGCCGAGATCCGAACCTCAGCCGCTCAGTGGAATCCCCAACCCTTGTGATCAGAAGTTAAAAATTCCACCCCGGCTGGGATTCGAACCCACGACCATCTAGTGGTCAAGCCAAACTAACGATTTAACGACTGCGACCACTGGACGTCGGTCTTCATGGGATTCGAAATTTACATTTGTTTGAAATATTTTACCAATAATTCAAAGATCCATTCGAGTCAAGTGGGGCAAGATGGACACTTTTGAATTACTTCTTAATATTGACGAGTCATGCAATTTTTAATTTTTTTTTCTCTGTGGAAGGTACGATTCTCTCGCTTTGTAACGTGATTAGATTGATTTCAATTTATGAAAAAAAGTCAAAAGTGTGGAATGAAATGCCTGGAGGCAAACGATGTCCTACGGCATGACTCCAATATTGAAGTAAATAATTAGTTTTAGGTATGGAAATAAGTGATGAAGTGTATCTTGAATTGCTAAGATTAAATTCTATTACTGCGGCCGCAAGACGAGTAGTCATTGCCATAAAAATTGAAGAAGAGGGAGAAGAAGAATTCTATTACTCTACGACTCTATCAAACCTAACAAAGACATAATAAGGAACGTCGTCATCACAACCCAGGAACTATCGCGGGCTTGTTATTGCATAGCTAGGAGAACTGTGAAGTATGAAGCCGAGGTCCGTATGATCTGTAGAAGACGAAGTGTTGAAAATTTTGTCATCTAAAAGAACGTAGACGTTAGATATATCAGGTTCTTACCCTGCTGTAACTCTCCATATTAATGACCAGTAGTTTTCCAGCAGTCAGTTGACAGGGGTATTGGCTCCTCATGAGGAGTAACCTCAGCATCTTTTGGGATTTTACCGAGCTGTCGTACCATTGTGAATTAGATCTAAATAATTCATGGCATAATGATCATTAAATGTTTCCAATTAGCGGGGGTGATGGGCTTGAGTATATTTACACATGCTCTTGAATACCGAGACTGTAATCTATGAGACGCTGACCGATGAGGCACTCGACAAAAAGATGTGAGAACGATAGGATTGTCGCCGAACCGTACTGAATCATTTCTCCTACGGCATCCACGTGGGCTACAATCTGGTGGAAAGCAAATTACATAAAATGTCATCTTCGTTTTGAATACCCAGGTGATATGACACCATTACCTCAACACCAATGATACTAATCAGAATCATATTCAACCCGATAACGCCGAGAAAGTACCACAAGTAGATTCCCCCCACTTCTTGCGCGAACCTATNAGCTGTCGTACCATTGTGAATTAGATCTAAATAATTCATGGCATAATGATCATTAAATGTTTCCAATTAGCGGGGGTGATGGGCTTGAGTATATTTACACATGCTCTTGAATACCGAGACTGTAATCTATGAGACGCTGACCGATGAGGCACTCGACAAAAAGATGTGAGAACGATAGGATTGTCGCCGAACCGTACTGAATCATTTCTCCTACGGCATCCACGTGGGCTACAATCTGGTGGAAAGCAAATTACATAAAATGTCATCTTCGTTTTGAATACCCAGGTGATATGACACCATTACCTCAACACCAATGATACTAATCAGAATCATATTCAACCCGATAACGCCGAGAAAGTACCACAAGTAGATTCCCTCCACTTCTTGCGCGAACCTATCAAAACAAGTGGGAAATTGCTCTTGTATTGCATATAGTATAGTTATTTTTGCTAATAAATTAGCAATATGCTTCCGAATGGTTACTTTGTACATCATTTTCTTCTATTATGCATAATTCATTGTTTAGTTCATTTTATTGAATTGAATAAGATTTCTTTTCAACTAATTTTGTCAGATTTTCAACTTAGCTGAATGTTATCATCATCATTGTGACGTTATGAGTTTTACCCGGAGGTAAAACTCAGGTAAAGATTTTACCCTTCTTACTACTACACTTTGCCTTGCACTTTGCACTGTTTTATCCCTGCACTGGAATCCTTTGGTCCTTAGTCGTCACTCCGACCTCGGCTATTTTCGGCGGTGAGCTTTCGGTTACGCGTTGCTAAGAGATCGGACTTAGACTTTTGAGCTTGGAGATTCGCTCTACTTCGCTCCCGATCGTACTCTGGTGCTTCCAGAGTCCTCAAAACTTGGCAAAGGCCCAATTCGCTGAGCTAAGCAGTCTCACGGTTTTCTCCACTAACACTGTCTCGTGTCATCATTGACAGAGACTCAAACAGTCGAACAGTTCATCGTTCTGAACTGGACTTCTGAAAAACCGTGGGACTGCTTACAACGGTGTCCAAATGACACCGTGGGATTGCTGACCAGTGTCTGGATGACAGGAAAGAGAAATCATATTTCTCATTCCCACCATCCAGCATTATATTATTATTTTATATAATTACTAACTAAATCGACGTATTGATCGATCCCAATACTTCACATCGTTATTCTTATTATCCCTTTCTTCTGTACAACCGATTGTCTTTTTTACGGTTCTATCTCTCCCCTCAGCCCTTCGATAAAATGTTAATAGAAAAATTTTATTTACACATACTTGAATGAATTTGAAACATCACATTTGAAGACACCATCAGAAAGCTCACTCTGAGGGAAATTCATGAAAAATGCGAAATTTTCAGCAATCATAAAAATCAAATCAACCAACATAACTATCGTAATCATCTTTTAACTTGGACTTAATGGCATTAAAACAAACATTTTAAGCTATGATTGAATTGATTTGAAGCATGATATTCAAAGATATCCCCGGAATTCTGATTTTCAAAAAATACAAAATTTTTGCAAATTTTCAAATTAATCAAATAACGATTATTGCTATCGCCTTCATCTTCGAACTCGGTCAAAAGGACACTCAAACAAATTTTTCAAGACATCATTCAAACAATTCAGAACATTTTTTTTCAGTTATCGTGGAACAATAGATTTTCGAAAAAATTCGAAAATTAAAATAACTAATTGATGAATTAAATTTCAGTTAATGGCGATTGCTAGGGCTCAACATTGTCTACATTTGAAAAAAAAGATTCATTTCCATCCATTCATTAGCGAACAATTGATGAAAAACTTTGTTACATACACACACGTACGGACGAGAGCTAAAAATTACATTTTCAGACTTTTTGGATTATACTAGGTCGATATAATCCAAAAACTCCAAAACATAAATTTGACCGATTACAAAGCTTCCATTCGGCAGCAAAAAGCAGCCAAATACTTGGATATCCTTAAGAAAGTTCAATTCTTATGATTATCACTCCATCATACTTAGCATCTAAAATTTTTTATTGTTTCTCCATTGCAAAACAGACATCCGGATCACGTAGACCCACCGATAACCCCCACAAAGCTCCTAGTAGTCCAACGCGTGAAGCCCTACGTTGGTAACCCCTATTGGCACACACAAATTCTTGACGCATTCAAATTGAACGAAAAATACAGCAAATGCGACAGAACTAAGAAAAGTGAAATGATTGTAGTGAAAAACACTCCAGAGGTTTGCGCCCAGTTATGGAAGATTAAACATCTTATCAGGGTGACACCCCTGAACCAGCCTGATAAGCTTCCAGAGGACGATGATGTGCATGCCACATGGCTCATGGAGAACGGAGATCTCTTGCTCACCCCTAGGGTTGACCCGGCTAGAGAACAAGCGACTTTGGATCACATGAAGAATCCCAAATGTCTGGATCGTGAAACCCTGTCCTATGAACTGAGAATGAGGTGGTTGAACCCTTGGGACACGTGAGTTACAGAAACATTTTTGGGCGGAATGAGCGAGCAGGTGCAACAAGTGTTGATTTTTTATTTCAAATCATTGAGAGGATAAATATGAAGTATGTTTATAGTTTAAGGAGAAGATAAAGAAGAGGTAAAAAAGTTGTTGGATTGATTATTGGGATCAGTATTGATCTGCCTTACCTTGCAACAATCTTTTTCATAAAAACGTCGTAAACCTTTGAACCATCTTCCTCTTGATTCAGTCTCTTGGGAAATTTTTACAAACCAAATCCTCTTGGATATGTCAATTGAATTCCACATACCATATTTCGTCTTAATTTCCGTCTTCCTATTTTATTTTGTACCACAAATTGCTTACAAGGGTAGGTTAATTCCTCACGAATTGTTGGCGAACAATATCCAATACATCTAGGCTCAAGTACTGATTATTCGTAGCAGTTCGATGATTATCCATTACAGTTGTGACTGACATCATCATGAATAGAGAAGTTTTTGAATAAATCAGGGGTACTTGTTACTGCGTTGCTAGAAGAACTGTAAAGTACGATGCGGATGTTCGTATGATCTGCAATAAAAGCGGTGATCGCAATCTTTATGCGAAATAATCTGTAGTGATGCGTATTTTTCTTTCTACCATATTAAATGTCGGGAAATTCATGACCAAGAATTTTCCTGCTGTCAGCTGACACGGCAGCTGACTCCTCATGAGAAGCAAACTCAACATTTTTTGGGACTTTACTGAGCTGTGGTACCATTGCGCATTCGATCTAAATAATTCGTAAAACAAAAATCACCGCTGGTAATGATGATCGAAGGGATCAAGCGTATTTACATATTTTCTTGAATACCAAGGCTGTGATCTATGAGACGCTGACCAAGCAGACATTCCACAAAGAGATGTCCGAGTTGAGAAATTGTTAGCGAACCGTATTGGACAATTTTTTCGGTCGCATCTAAGTTGACGGCGATCTAGAACAAAAACGGAATGAAACATTCAAAGAAAGAAATTCGTGGGGAAAGTATTAGAGACGTCTTGAATCAGGAAAGCCATTCTTAGCTTGAATGAAGTCATGAATAGGTCCAATTATTCGATCAATTGGGCCGGGGAGAATTTTAGATCCTCATTATGAATCATCTAAGATGGATGGGGCAAAGTGGAATGTATATAACAGTTTATATCATTACTTGTACACCAGTTATGCTGATGATAATCATGTTGAGTCCGATGACAGCGAGAAAGTTCCACATGTAGAGTCCCTCAAGCTCTTCAGCAAATCTATCAAAAAATTAACTATTTTAATCCAAGAACGATGATTACATATGGCGACGTACTCGGTAGCTCGATAATGTATCTGAATGCAACGTTTGACGTGCAGAATTCCCTCCGTAGATTCACCATTACTATCAATTGGTATATGTTCGATGACGTATCTTGACAAAAAAATACAAGTGGATGAGTATAGGTATTGTTGCTAGTAAATTAGCAATTTCCTTCCGAATGGGTTGTCCTTGAAATTCTCATTTCACTATTCTATTTTTCCATTTTTTCATGTCACAGTACTATCATCAATTGAAATGTTATCAAAATTTTGCGTATTACTTCGTTCTGTCAAATAATTCTACAGTCAGACCCTCTCAAGACTCGAATTCGTTTTCAGTCTGGGTTTAATCAAGGTTCAATCAACACTGAGAGAAAAAATTCGCTCTACCGAAAAGATAAATGTTCACCTGTACAAAATTTTCTTGTCTCAAGATTATTATTCCCCACGAGAAAATATTCTGCAGCGAAAAATTTATTCTTTCCACTTGAAAATCTGACAGTGGCATATGAATACATATTCTTTCGAGTAGAATGCCAGGATTCAAATATCATGATAAATAATAATCTGTTTGACTGCAAACCAAAAAAATTTCCCCGAAGCAGAAGTTTGAGCCGACAGAAGAACCACTCTTTCAGCAAAAATACGACTGTATAATCTCTACTGCAACTTTCTCTATTATTTCCAATATTACTCATTTGTTCCCCCGCCATTGATAGTTATTGAGTGAGAAATCAAAGTCCAGTTCTAAGGTCACAAACGGATAAGTTTGAAAAGATCAAACCTCTGATCCACAGAAAATTTTAAAACCTTTTACGAAGCTTTATTGTAATCAGCGGAATAGTGTACTTTTTTTCCGCTTGACTTGTGTACGTGAAAAAAAAACAGATTTTGAGGCGACAAATTATTTATCTATTTACATCAAACTATACGTTGACTCCACGTATCTTATATTATTAGACGAAGTTATCTCGATATTTTTGAGCGGAATAAATATATTTTCGGCAGAGGTAATTTTTTCTCTCAGCGAAGGTTTAATCAGTGTATAGCCGGAATTTAATCAGGGTTTATTCAGAATTTGGCCAGAGTTTAACCCAGGTTCTGTCAGAAGTTAGTCGGGACCATGAATCAATATGAATAAGTATTCAACATAATAGACTACTACCTGAGTTC